ACACCACTTTCACACCATGTCATGTTGCCCTAAATATAAAAAGTCATCCTCTCTTGATGCCCATAAAACACTATTATAAAAAGAAAAGCCTAAAACAACAGTCTACCCACATGCAGCCTGTGAATAGTTTTCCTCATGACCTACGATTTCTTGGGAGGTTACAATTCACACTGCCTGTTGTAAAAGCTATAGCTCCATCATTAACATAACTTTCATTAGCTTTTCTACTTTCTCTATTTCACCACACACATCTCTTGCCTCCTGGGATCACCTCTCAAAGAGGCTGCTTATTTCTAATTTCTGTCTTGAGTTCTGCTTTTGGAGAAATCCAATTTAAGATGATACTATGTAAGAATCCCATAGATAGATACTATAGTAGAGTGGTTGGGAGCACTAAATGAGGTAATTCACATAAAGTGCATGGAGTGATGTCTAATAATTTGTAAACTCACAGTGAAATAATCGGAATTCATTCAATTTCTAAGGTGGCTTAGCTTCACTCTCCATTCTGTAAATCTCCATTCCAGTTTCAAGTTTGGGAAAGAAAATGCGATTAGATTAGAATATGTTCCATGTCCTGCAGTGATTAGGGCTATGAGACCTGTGTAAATCCATGGCCCTTCCAGTATGACATGAGGTGGGAATAGAACCTTGTCACTAAGGAAGGGTCAGCTGGGAAGACAAGATGTCCTCCCCACTGGAGTTTGACGCCTGTTTTACAAGAGAATAAGGGCTCAGGAAGAGTCTGGGATTTTCCAAAGTCACAGAGTAAACAATGAATTGGAAGTAGTAGCCCCCTCTGAATGCCAGATGTAGTAGTCTTTCTTCTGTAATGTAAGTTAAAAAAAGAAAAAGAAAAAAAAAAAAAGCTTACTGATCATGATTTTTTTTTTTTGGCACAGACTGTACACATGAGTCTGAAATGTACTTAATGTACCTATTCCTGAATTGCTGACATTAGTGAAATCGTTTCTGATTTGTGTCATTTTGCTTCAAATGAGTTGGAAAGAAAATAAGCTATTGATTTTCCAAATCTTCTGCAAGTCATTGGTGAAGAGTGAAAACTCAGATTTCCAGCTAGGCTTTAAAATGTTAACATCCAAAAACGCATTACAATGATGCTTACCGCTAAAGATTCCCTTGCACATGGAGAAGGGATGTAACGAAGTTTGCTAAGATCCAGGTCAAGGTGAATTGTGAGTGGGCTGGAATCAAGAAGGAAAAAAGTACTGCACTATGGGAGCAGAGAAGGATAAAATAGTAGCATAGTGAAATGTGTTCAAATTTCATCAACAGGAAAGAAATCTGGCATATAGCAACCAGTCATAGCTCACTTTATTACTATTATTTTTCTGCAGGAAATCATGGGCCACTTAAGACAAAGAAATAGTCCCAGTGAGCAATGGGAATCAGACCAGCAAGCCCAATTTTAACCCAAAGGCATAGTTTGACAGTTATGTGCTACAGAAAAAAATACAACTAGGCCTCCACAAATCATCCCAAATATTTCTATTCCTAAGAGAACTCTCAGTCAATAGGTGATCTTTGGAGTTCAAAGGGTAACATCACTAATATGTTAAAATGGCTTTACCCTACTCAGGCACTGTGTATAAATCTAAAATTCTATAGTTCCTGAGAAATAATCCAACTTCTAGCATATAACAACTTTCTGGATTCCAAGAACAAATGTCACCAGCTGAGGTGAAATTGCATATTTCTGTAGTTTGGTTCAATGTCAGAAAGTTTGTAAAATGAAGTGTGGGGCTATGACCCCATTTTACAACTTACCCACAATAAAATCTCCTGATAAATTCCCCAAATCACATCCGCTACTAAAAACCCTTAGAAAGTAGGATAAAGTGACCCTCTTTAGTAATCAGATGCTATTGGTTTTAGAACATATTTTACAAAACAATTTTCTGTGTTTTTGCAATAAAGAAAATTATTTGACCTTGGTTCACCTAAGTTGGAAAAAAAATACAAAAAACACCCCCACAAACTATTCCTCCCTATATACTAGACTTTGGAGGAATTTTAGCTGTGGGTTGTATTCTACACAGAGTTGGCAGAGAATAGATGGTTTTAATTCATATTGTATCTGGGCAGTCACGATTTTTGTGCATTCAGTTAGACTTCAGATAATTATGTATTCTATTGAAAAGAATAGTTAAATATATTTTCATTCCTTTCATAGTTCTGGAAGAAAACTCTGCAAAAACAATACAGTAACACCTTAATTAACCAATTATTGGGAGCACAGGAAGGGTTATAGTTAGATTTTTGGCTAGATAAAAATCAATCTGGAACTACTTTTCCCTATTTTTTAATTGAAAATGCTCTAAAATTTAATAAGTACATTGTAGTTATAATGCCATGAGGACCTTTCCTTCTGAAAAAGTATAGGTTGTCAGAAAGAAGCACATGGATTTAGGCTTACTTTATATTCATCTAAAATTGTGTCTCAAAAGACTTATAAAATATTAGTATTGCATAGCTCACAACTACATGGTAGTTTCTATGTCTCGTTACTTCTCCAAGTTTTCTGTATGTCTATATGTATATGTGATATGATGTGTGTGTGTGTGTGTGTGTGTGTGTGTGCGCACACGCACATACATTTAATCCTTATACCTCATTGAGAAGAAGATAGTATTAGTAACATCCCCATTTCACAGATAAGAACACGGGAGCAAAGGAAAGTTAACTTGACTACAAAGTTAGTGCATAGAAGAACCAGATTAGGAATCACTACACTCTGGTTCCCAAGTCTGATTTTTACCATGACACTATATTTCTCTGAGTCTGAGTAGATCTGTTCTTTTTTTAGCTTTTCCTTCTTGGAGGGAAGTTCTTAAAACAATGATTTCTTGATAATTGGGGTACTATGATTCTCTAGTATGGGATACAGTAGGCATGAATCTCCTTTTCTTCTCTAATAATCTTTGCAACTTTAGGAAGTCACTTTGGGCTGCCATGGGGTTCTGTTTTCTTGTCATAAAGTAAATGGATCCATCTAGATCTGAGATGTTCACTACTAGCATCATGGGACTACTGGGCTCTTGAAATATGGTCAGTCCAAGTTTAAGATTGCTGTATACACCAGATTTTCAAAATCCTGGTATAAAAAAAAAGTAAAATACTTCATTTTTTTTAAATATTGGTTGTATTAAAATGATAATATTTTGGACATATGGGGTCAAACACAAGTATTCTTAAAATTGGTTTTACCTGTTCGTTTTCACTTCCTTTAGTGTGACTACTTGAAACATTAAAATTCCATGTGTGATTTAACTTTCTGGCTCTCATGATGTTTCCATTGGATTATGCTGGTCAAATCAGCAACTCTTCACCCACATGCTTATTGACATTTTCTAGTGAAATAATACATACACAGCAGCAGGAGCTGCACAATCCCAGGAGCATTAGTTTCATATCAAGATCTGACATGCTCAAGAAAACTTTAGAATGCAAGAGCATGACATTGACATTACAAAAACAACTCAAGCCCACTCTGTCATCATAAAAAGTTAATTATTTGCAAATGTTGCTGTTTGTTATTAGGAACAAATTAGTTGGTCACACTTCAAACAGAGGTGGCATTCTGGTGTGTCAACATATCACACGTATCCCATGGTTTTCTAATAACCCTTCCAGCTCTTGAGATCCTGTGGTTCTGTTCTGCAAGCCAAACCCAGCCATGTGCATCCTTAAAATGGAAAATAAAGCTGCAAAGGTAGAACACACAATTTGTTTGTAAATTGTGAGACTGTCAGAGTATTGTTATCTTTGTTTCTCTTTCTTAAAAAGGAGCTAATGACCTTGGGAAGTTGCCAACAGTGGACTCACAGGAGGAAAGCAAATTCAAGGTGACAGGAGTAAATGGCCCAACAAGCAGTACAAGCCTGTGTTCCTCTTATGGTTTTGTAATTATTATGCTGAGCTGCTCACTTTCACAAACAGCTCTGTTTCCACCTGCACTGAGGTGTGGCAAGAGCAGTTGTTCTTCAAAGTTCCACCTGTCAGTGCTTGTTGAGGGTGAGGTCCTTATGTAGGTGCCAAGTCAAGCCTTTGGGATAAGGTGGTAGTTTGATTTTTCTCTTGCATTGTAGAAGTTGGATGATAAAAACAAGTTCCTGGTTAAAGGCTATACTTCTTGATAATGGATCACCTTGAAGATGTGGTGGGATGACTCATAGAATATAGATGTTGGGCGGGGGCGAGAAGTAGGATAGTAGTAATTAAAAAATGTTAAATATTAAAAATGTATTTCCAGAGTATTTTGTACTGTTTTACTAAATCTATACATTATATTACAAATGCATCTTGATAAAAGCTAGATGTATTAAATAAAAGGAAACCAGTACCAAAGAGAAAGAAAACCATTTGTGAAACTCTTTCTAAACCATTTGTGAAACTCTTTCCTTCCTTTCCATTCTTTAGATCATAAGACCAAGCAATAATACTGTTGTAGCATTCAAGGTCTTAATTTTAGACACTCAAAGGATTAACATTATAATGTGGTTCTTAAATCGTGGTCCCTGGACCATTAACATTAACACATCTGGGAACTTTGAAATGCAAATTCTTGGGTCTATCCCTAGACCTACTGAAACAGAAACTCTAAAGATGAAACCCTGTAACAGATATTTTACAAGGGTATTTTTATGCACAGTTTAAGAACCTATGCTATCTATAGCAGACACTGCTGGAACCAGGCTAGATTGTCTTAGCAGCAGGTGTACTAATCTGTGACTATTGCAGCTAACAGCCCACAACTGTAACCTTTTCCAAGCGATTGTTCTTGGTTGAATCATCTTGTCCTGAGATGGAGAAACTTTGGAGGTTGTTTTGCAGTCATTATTCTGGACCCTTGTCAACAACTGACTAATATTGGGACACAAAAGCCCAATCTCATTGTCTCAAGGTAGGACAGTTCTGAAGAGTGCTCTAAACTCTAGAACTCCTCTGAGATCAGGCCAAGTTTAGCCTTTTCCCCTGTAGCCACATCCTTGCTTTGCCTCTTGCCTTTACTTGTTTTTTCCCCCTCAGTCCCTTAAAGGTTCACCTGAGAGTCCTACTTCAATACATCATATGAACCTAAATCCCTGCTTCAAGATCTACTTCCAGGGCATTGGCTCACTTTCCATCACAGATGAGAAACCTATAGTCAGTCACCTGTTTGTATAAATAAAGTGTTATTGGAAAACAGCTATTCCAATCCATGTATTGCCTATGACTGCTCTAGTGCTGTACAACATCAGAGTTAAATAGTTGCTATAGAGATCATATAGTTCTCAAAATCCAACATACTTAATGAATAGTTTGCTGATGTCTACCTAAGATGTTAGGCAAGATCAGATGGATGAAGGCTAGAAGGGAACAAATGATGGTATTTATTAAGCAACAGTGTGCTGAAGCTCATTCTGCACATATGTCTCTATCCAGCTCTATGTGTAGCAGCATGTTGGCAGCTTGAAATTAGCCTTAATGAGAATATTTTCACTATGGAAAATGGCAAATGTTACAAATCAGATAGTGTGTGTATGTGTGTGTGTGTAACCTGCCTGCCAAGAGAGTCTGATGTTAACCATGTATCGGCACATCATTGGCTGGCTGTAAGCTGGATGACTTATACACATTAGCAAGGCATGAGCAATAAAAACTCTCTAGTGGAAAGTGAGAGATAAATGGAATTAATGTTATTCTCAAATTGAGATCCTCCCAAGTACATCTCTAGTATGTGTAAAAGGATGCAACTTTTTTTTTTGTACATAAAATAAAATTAAAATTATAGTGTACTAGTTCTTGTAGTCTTCCATCCCCTGCAAAGAAAGCATTGAAGTCAGTCCAGGGAAGAGTGGGGTCTTTCTGTTGTGGCCACACATGAACTCCCTGTCTGGGCTGTCTACTGAATTTCCTCTGGAGTGGGACACTCCCTCAGTTCTCTTAGTGGGTTACTACATTGTGTTCTTGTGGACTGCTTTGGTATACACAGTTTTTCTTTTTTTTTTTTTAATTTTTTATTTTTTTATTGGTTGTTCACAACATTACAAAGCTCTTGACATATCATATTTCATACACTAGATTGAAGTGGATTATGAACTCCCAATTTTACCCCAAATGCAGATTACAGAATCACGTCGGTTACACATCCAAAATTTTACATAATGCCCAATTAGTAATTGTTGTATTCTGCTACCTTTCCTATCCCCTACTATCCCCCCTCCCCTCCCCTTCCATCTTCTCTCTCTACCCCATCTACTGTAATTCATTACTCTCCTTGTTTATTTTCCCATTCCCCTCACAACCTCTTATATGTAATTTTGTATAGCAATGAGGGTCTCCCTTCATTTCCATGCAATTTCCCTTTACTCTCCCTTTCCCTCCCATCTCATGACTCTGTTAAATGTTAGTCTTTTCTTCCTGCTCTTCCTCCTTGCTCTGTTCATAGCTGCTCTCATTATATCAAAGAAGACATTTGGTATTTGTTTTTTAGGGATTGACTAGCTTCACTAAGCATAATCTGCTCTAGTGCCATCCATTTCCCTGCAAATTCTATGTACACAGTTTTTCTAACAGATTCTCTTGGGGATCCCTTAGGTCTCGATACTTCCAGAGTCTATACATTGTGTTATCCTTCAGGATTTTTGTTCTTAGAAACTTCTTCTTTGATTTACTGCTTTTATCCTTTTTTTCATTAATTTTCAGGGAGGACAACCCCCATGGTGAAGACATTCAAGCAAGTCTCTGGAGAGGCCTATGAAGAAGGAAATAAGGTTTCTCACCAAGAGCAGTAATGTAGAAGATGATTCTCCACCTCCATGTAAGGCCAAGCCTGCTCAAAAAAAAATAAAGTAAAATGACCACAAGGCAGTCCTTCTTGTTCTTGTGAATTAAATTTGGAATGGTCACAAACTCATTGATCAAACACGTTGAATGCGCCCTCTCATCATCAAGCAAAGATACTGACAGCATTGGTGGTAGTTTGTCCCTGTAGCCAATGCATCCTGTCCCTCTTACTCATTTGAATGACTCTGTTGAATGATACTGTAGTGCATTTCTAAATTTTTTAAAAGGATGTGTAGTGCATTTTATAGTGCATTTTAATCTTTGGATCTAAATTTTGCTAGCATAGATTATTTATATAAAGCTGTATAATTCTTATGCTGAAAGAAACTAAAATTCTTATTTTTATACTTACTATGTTTGCTTTAAAAATGGCATGAAAGTTGGGAAGGGCTGTAGGAGAAGGTGGTAACATTTCACTGAATTAAATACAGGGAGCTCTTAGGAAGCACAGACCGCCTGACAAAGGTGAAGCCAAATGCCTCATAACTACCCCTGTGTTCTATTGTCTCCTGGATACTTTTGTTGTGAGCATTTTCACTGCAAGACTTTGAATTCATACCGTCATCAATGCTATCTTGACGGCTGAAAAACCCATTGCTAATCACATAGTGTTTCATTTATTCTTGTTCTTCTTTGGTCTCCTCATTCAATTAGTATATTTCTTTTTGCTTTCTCTTTCTTTAAATTATAATTCATTTCTGGTTAAAGGAGTAATTTTGTCACTTTCACCTGAAATATTATGATAACAATAATTATAAAAGACACAGCAAAGCATTTCCCATTTTTTAAAGGCTAAAACTCTATAATTCTGACATCATCAGTTATTGCACGGTTTCCTGTTCTGGGAGCAGAGACTGGCTATACCTGGTCCATTCTGATACATGTTTAAACTCAGTGAGCCGGAGCCACTATTTGGAACTCAGGTGAATTCAGTTTTATATGTACAGAAATGCTTACTCCCCAAAAAACTAAGAGGAAAAATTAAATCTTTTTCATTTGTGACCCCCTTCCAAGTTAAATATATGAAGAAGGCTAGTAGGAATCTGTTAGAAGTCAACACAAAATCTAGCTTAAGTTGGTGGTCTCTAATGGGTAAAAATTTTGAAAGTAGCACATTTGAAAATGTAGGTTTCTAAATTACAGCTTTAAGATATTTTAAATACAGAATTTGAATCAAACATATGCTGGGTTCTGCATATTCTGAATGCAGTTGATAGCCACTGCTTTAGAGCAACTCAGCTCTCATTAGTTCAAATTCAATGTTGATGTGTGAATGAGTGAAAACATGTTGATTTGCTTACTTAAAAAAAAACAGATGCTTGTTAACACAAATAAAGCTCAAGTTGGTAGAACTGCAAGAAATATAAATGACTCTAACCCCAAGATTCGCAAGAATTACCCGGTGAACTAGCTAAAAATAGAGCGTCCTGTGTCCCCTGGCCACTGAGTCACAGTCAGTGAATGTTGAATTGATCCCCAGATCACGTATGTTCAACAGCATCACTAAAATTCTGGTAAAGTTGTATATTCATCATACTTTGAAAAACACCACCCTTGAAGCTCCTGCTGTCTGAAAGAAAGTCAGCAATGGCCATTTCCATCCCCACCCCCCACCCCCCAGAGAAAGCAAAAAGTAATATACTAATTGAATGAAGAGACCAAAGAAGAACAAGAATAAATAAAACACTATGTTTGAATGTTGTTTCTTCTAGTGTCTTCTGTTCACTTTTGACTTTGCAGGGAAATAGGAAGTCTGAGTTACTATTGCAGAGTCCTATCATTTGTTCTACCAAGACAACTGGCAGTGGCCTTTGAAAAAGACAGCTATTGTACAATACAGAGAAACCTGGTAAAGAAAATTAACTTTTATCACCACAATTTTTCCCAAGCTGTCAATTAACAGTATCTCCACAAGGAACAGAAATCCTTCCCACCTGGTAGTAATTCTTTTAATCAGAGTAATGACAATATAAATCTCATGTCATCCTCTCTTATTAAGCACCTTACCAGCCACCCATGGTGTTGTCAAAGAACAACACAAACATGAACACCCTAGTGAGGGTTCTTGTCAGTTTGGGGGTGCCGTGCTGATGACAACTGCAGCAGCTTCTTGCCCACTCGAGTGCCAATTATCTCAAGAATCTTCACCCATCCTTAACCAGCTAAGTAAACAGTGTCCGAGAGAGTGGCTGCTCAGATTCCGCCTCTCCACTCTACCACCCACAATCATTTTGCATGTTTTGCTGTCTTCATTTGAGCTTCCCTAGGCACAGACTATACAGGTTTTAATGAGAACTGTTTCACACGGGGAAATGGAAAACCCCAAAGGAACAAGATCAGGAGGTGACAGAGGAGAAAGTCATGCATGTTAGAGGTTATGTTGTCAAGTAGGTCTGCACAGGGGCTCAGGGGCTCCATCAGAGACTTGAGAGACAAAGTCTAGGTATTTTCAGCAAACGGCCTTAGGAAAACAGTGAAAGGCTGAGAGTTATGGTCATGACTTAAATTGGGTGAATGGTATACTGTCTTTAACCACATGATGAATGTTGGTCCTGGGGACTTTTCCTTTTCTTTCAATGGATGAAGCTTCTTCTGGCTGTAATTTGTTGCCTAGACTTTGCTAACTTTTAAAAACATGTTCCATTCCATTCGTTTTTATAAACCAATAGTCCTGAGTCAATACAACCTTGCAATATTCAGAAAAACAAGCAAGCACACAACCAGGTAAATGGTTCAGCTCCACTTCAGGTACATACCTTCAGTGTGGCCCTGTAGGCCAGATTCTTTTCCTGTCTCCATTTTCCACTGAAACTATTCAAGACTTCTCTTTTCCTCTTAAGCTCATCTACCTCTTCGTAATCTCCTTCCTCTGAACATATAAACTTTACAGTCCCCATATTTTTTCTAAATAAGAGGCTTTCTCTGGAGGGAGGTTCTTTCACATAAGCACAGATGCCAGAAATATCTTTACTTCCTTTCTTCCAGTCTCAGAGGAAGGGTGTTCAAACAATGGAGAATCCAAATCCTTCCCCTGTCATTGGTGTCCACACCCTTCTGACTTTAATTTCTCCTTTCTTTCTTTCTTTCTTTTTTTTTTATTTAGTTTTGGCTTTTCCTGATATTTCTTTTCCCAGCATCATATAAACAAGTACATGTCTGTGCTAAACGTAACAGACACAGAATCAATCTCTCTCTCTCTCTCTCTCTCTCTCTCTCTCTCTCTCACTCACTCACACACACACACATACACACACACACACACTCACACACACTCACACCCTCCTATAAATCTCTCTGAAGCTAATTTCCCCCTCAGTTTTAGTCAACACACTCTAAAAAAGCTCATACCCTATATTACTTACCTATTGCTATATATTAGTTTACCCTAAAACTTAGTATTTAACTACACCAAACATCCTAGTTTCTGTGATCCTGAAATGCTAGGGTGACTTAGCTGGATCAGCCTGCCTCAGGAATTTGTAGTGTATTTCATCCTAGGCTCCAGTCAACTGAAGGTTTGATTGAGACTGAGATCCATTTCTCTCTCTCTCTCTCTCTCTCTCTCTCTCTCTCTCTCTCTCTCTCTCTCTCTCTCTCTCTCTCTCTCTCTCTCTGTCTCTCTTTTATATTTCTTTCAGTTTATTATTTTTATTATAAATATTAAGTCATATTACTTCTATAACTTAGTGGGTTTCACTGTGATGTTTCTATACCTGCATATACTGTGTTTTGACCATTATGGATGGTTATGATGATTATGGATATCAAATTACTAGGTAATTTGTATTTTTCTTAGTGATTTAAAAATATATGTAAGAGTAGAGATGGACATAGTTATACCAACATGTGGACATGGTCAAAACACAGTATATGCAGGTATAGAAACATCACAGTGAAACCTATTTCTGAGATGCTTTCTAAACATGGCTCTTGGTGGAAGGCCTCAACATTTTGTCTACTCTTGAGAAAAGACCTCGGTTCTTCTCCATGTGACTTTTCCATATAGCTGCTGGAGCATCCTCATGACAGGGCAGCCTGCTTCACCCAGAGTGTGCAATCTAAGTGTGCAGAAACTCATAATACATTCTACCATCTAGTCTCAAGTCATTTAATGATATGCCCCTTAGTCTACTAGTTAAAAGTGAGTCGCTAAGTTTGGCCAATATCCAAGTGCTGCAGCCTGGCTGCAGCAAACTAGCCGGGGGTGAGGAACAACTTGTGTAGATTGATACAGCAGGAGAGGGAGCCGTTTATTGTAGGACAGGAGCGGTATTTATACATTCCACACAGCTTATCTTAATTAGCATAAACTAGATACACCAGTCAACCAATAAGAAATCTCCACACTTAATGGCTCGCTGGCCTTACTTCACAAACCACTCTCTCTGGCATTTTGCCAGGCGCCATCCAGACTTGTTTACAGACTCTAACATTCCCCTGGCAAAATGCCAGGCGCCATCTTGACTTGTTTACAGACTCTAACACCCAAGAGGAGAAAATTATGTCTATCTTTTAAAGAGAGGTATATCAAATCATTTGTCTCCACTCCATCCCAAGTACTTGGCTTCTTGTACTTCTTGTACTTAGCTACATCCATAGCACATTTTTTTGGTTGTGACCCAGAGTTTCACTAATTTGATGAGGCTGGCCTCGAACTTGGCAACCCTCCTGCCTCAACTTCCCAAGTATCTGAATCTGGTTAAAGCATGTTTTAAAATCTATTAAATTCTCCTTTAGCCTTCAGTTCTAAGTACATTATACTGCTGCACTTCTCCCATAATGGCATTGAGACCATTCCTGATAAGGATAACTGTGACTTCATAATTAGCAAGCCAATAAATACTAATCCTAACTCAATTTTTTTAAAGCAAGACATTCTCCTGTATTTCCTTTCTTCATTTCTGAAAAGATGATCCATTTTATCCTTTCTTTCCTTCTCAGGGATTATGGATATCAAATTACTAGGTAATTTGTATTTTTCTTAGTGATTTAAAAATATATATAAGGGTAGAGATGGAGATAGT